TTAAAATGCAACTTGAGATGTATGATTTTTTGTTGTTGTTGTTGTTAAAGCATAAATAAAGGATATGTCGTGTATGCCGAGAGGTGTATGTCCCTCAGTGTGTATAATCTTAGAGTTTACTTTCATCCCCATTTCAGGGAATAAAATATTCTTGAGTGGTGGTGTTCAAGTTCTGCTGTTCCCACTCAACCTTGTGGATAAACCAGCGTTTACCTGAGAGTGAAGTGGGTCAGCCTCTGGAAATACGATTGTTTTCCTTTTTGCTGCTTCCCCTAGACCAATTTTCTTTAAACGCGGAGGAATTGTGTAACTACTTATGTGTGACTGTACCTAAATAAACTTCCTTAATGAGATTGAAAGCCTATCGACTACATTAGGGTCATTACAACTACATTTAAATTATCAGGAAACTTTAATCCCTACACTGAGAGATATACACCTCTCAGTGTATATAATATTCGCTTATACTCCAGCAAAATTTTAATTTGTATAACAATAGCAACCTTGGTTGTGGGGGTGGGCAATGATTCTTAAATGTTCGTAATCCTCTTTTGTATCTCGTAACTGTTATTATTAAGTAAGTTTTCATTTAGGCTTATTGTACATAGCGTACAAATATTTTTTTTATGGTCTTGAGGGCACCTAGATGTTACGCCACAAAATTGTGCATTATGTAGACTTTAAGAGCAAAAAGGCATAATGCCGTGACTGGAACTATACACTACTGCTACTACTAATATTACTACTACTAATCTTCCGCGTGCGGGATATTTGCGTAATGCAGAGTTAATCTAAGCAAGCGCTAAATCCGTAGGGTCACACAGAGAATGTGAGCCTTGCAAGGTAATCAAGGTTTGATCTAAGGAGGAGGCAGGGACTGTGGCTCTGATTCCTAACAACAAGGGGCTTGTATTGTCACCGCAGTTCTTGCAGGGATAGGATAGTTTACCCTGAATATCTCGTTTTCTCTCTCAAGAGTAGAGTCCAGGACAAACTTATGTAGATGACCGGTCCTTGTTACTTCACGGATTAAGTAAGTTTATTCAGGTATCATATGTAGCAGCATATATGTAGATTACCTAGGATAACCCACGAAAGACAGGCAAAGTGACTTATTTCCATTCGGGTCCTTGATTTCTACTGGAGAAGCAGTAGAATGTTACACTTTTCATCTGTTTAAATATTGCGATATTCTTGAGGCTTGATACCCGATGGATCCCGGATTTTCCTGTATACAGGAGCACTCTGAAGAATCTATTTAATAGTTAGTCAAGCAGTCACTGAGAGTAGATGTTTAATTATAGTTAAGCACACAAGCGTCCGCGCGCAGGACCAGTTCACTCCTCACAATCTGATTGACTGCTGGTTCTGGGCGACGTTTTGCCCGCTTGTCTCACTCTCTGGTGTGAGAAAGGTGCTGTTGGTTAGTATTAATATTTGTAATGTAACCGTTGTTGGGTTGGGCTCTTAAATAGATAATTAGATCAATTATGTCGTTATGACTGATTACGTCTTCAAGAGTTTTAAGTTAAATACATTTCATTTGCAAGTTTATCTGGAGAGGGTTTCGGGGGTGACGCCCCCGCGGCCCGGTCTGAGACAAGGCCTCATGGTGGATCAGGGTCTGATCAACAAGGCTGTTACTGCTGGCCGCACACAAGCTGACGTACGAACCACAGCCCGGTTGGTCAGGTACTGACTTTAGGTGCCTGTCCAGTGCCTTCTTGAAGACAGTCAGGGGTCTATTGGTAATCCCCTTTATGTATGCGGGAGGCAATTGAACAGTCTTGGGCCCCGAACACTTATTGTGTTGTCTCTCAGTGTACTCGTGGCGCCCCTGCTTTTCATCGGGGGAATGTTGCATCTCCTGCCGAGTCTTTTGCATTCATATGGAGTGATTTTCGTATGCAGGTTTGGTACCAGTCCCACCAGGACCTTCCAAGTGTATATTATCATGTATCTCTCTCGCCTGCGTTCGAGGGAACACAGATCAAGGACCTTCAACCGTTCCCAGTAGTTTAGGTGCCTAATCGCACTTATGTGTGCCGTGAAAGTTCTTTGTATACTCTCCAGGTCATCAATTTCGCCTGCCATGAAGGGGGCCGTTAGTGTACAGCAGTATTCCAGCCTAAAGAGCACAAGCGATTTGAAGAGAATTCTCATGGTCTTGGCGACCCTAGTTTTGAAGGTTCTCTTTATCCATCCTATCATTTTACTAGCGGATGAGGTAGATACATTGTTGTGGTCTTTGAAGGTGAGATCCTCTGACATTATCACTCCCAGGTCCTTCACATTACTTTTCCGCTCTATTGTATGGTTAGAATTTGCGGTATACCCTGACACATTAATAAACTAATTTGATATAGCGTAGCTCTCCTGCTTTTGGCTGAGACCATGAAGATGACAACATTAATATCTTGTTGCAGGCCTTGCATTCACCTTCTAGCGGTTGCAGGGGTCGAGTCGCAGCTCCTGGCCTGTGATCTGCGGTAATGGAAACGGACACAATCTGGCTCTGCTTAACGTTATTAATAATTTCTGATGACATTATTTTGTGGATCGTTATGGAAAATATGTGTGATAAGGGAGTATGGCGATAAACTAAGTTAATTATGAATGAATCTAGTGTTATTGACAAGGGATATTAACTGTTACATGGGATATTGCGCATTGTTGACGGCCCCGTTCAGAGCAGGAGAAATATCGGAGCTGAAACGAATACTGAGATAGTATGCGGCCCACATAGAGCCAATAAAAGCATTTAAATTACTGGAACGCCTTAACGTCTTAAATATGTACTCAAGGGAGCGGATGAGAGAGAGAGATACAAGATAATTTATACCTGGAAAGTACTTGAGGCCTTTTCCCAAATCTGCACGCTGCTATAACAACATACTGGAGTGTGAGATATGGGAGGAAGTCCAGAATAAACCTTGTCAAAAGCAGGGGTGCTGTGAGCACAAAACTGGAACACTCTATCAACATCCATGGCCCCAGAGTATTCAACATCTTACCAGAAGATATCAGAAACACTTCTGAGACAAGTATAGAAGTCTTCAACAGGAAGCTGGACAAGTAACTTCACTGGGTTCCAGATCAACCGGGCTGTGATGGATATGTGGGGCATTGGGCCACCAACAGCAGCAACCTGGTTGACCAGGCAAACACCAGACGAGCCTTACCCATGGCCGGGCTCCGGGAGCAGAAAAACTCTCGGAGATCATCGAAAGCATATATCAAAGGTATTGGATTGATATCATTTCTTAAGACATGTTACAGAGGGATTCAAAATTTTTCTGAAAAAAAGAATTGTATATTTTTCTCAACTGAGATCTTTTGGTCTTCTTCCGCGAGAATAGGATATATACTACGAATAGCGTATGTCTTTCTGGGTATATAAATCAAGCGTTTATTCTAAACCCAATTTTAGGGATTCAGATTTTGTTGATTAGTGGTGAACGAGAGATATATAGCTTTAGTGACCCTTAGAGCAGTCGATAGGCTTTAAGCTCAATTAACCAACCATAACCCACAATAACACAAGTAGTGTTATAGACACTAATACACATAAAACAGTACGGAAGATTTTTTAATGACGAAGTTTTACACATGTGAACGAACGCAGGCTTGAAAAAACGTGTGAATGTACTGCCTCAGTGTAATATTTCCCATCGCGTTTCTGGAGACTATTGACAGTGTGCACCTCCCACACACCGATGATGTGCTCAACGAAATATAATATAAAACACGTATAACAAGAAACTAGCAAGTTTAGACGACACATTTCTATTTACTTGGAGTGTCCGAGCAGCAAGTCATTGAATTCATATCCACGAGAATCTCCCCAGCAATGGATCCGCTGACACCAAAACAAGATTTCGTGACCCATCATAACATTCCGTATTAATTTCAAGTGTGCCGGGCCCCGGTTACGCTGACCTCCAGGAACACCCTCCAGGTATGTTCCCTCCTGACGTGAGGTGGGATCACGAACCATTGCAGATCCCGCTGATCTTTGTGTAGAATCACCAGAAGACACGATCAGACATCGATCAGACATCGATCAGACATCGATCAGACATCGATCAGACATCGATCAGACATCGATCAGACATCGCAACACAGAGAACCTCAGAACCCTGGTTACTCTCGATTCTCGAGGAAGAAAACCAATTTTCTCTTCTCTTTTTCGACGACGAACTAACAAAAAAAAATAAATCTGGCTAAAGCACGTTTCATTTCGCCAATTTATATTTAACAAATTGGTTTTTAATCAATAACTGGAGAAGCTTAAAACCAAAAAGTATCTTAATTAGAGAATTATATGCATTAAGCTTGGGCTGTGCAGATGCCAATTTGATCCAAGGAAATAGAGGATAACGGTTAATACATCCAATGTATTAAAGTTTACTTCAATTCTTTATTTAGGTGAAGACATATACAAAATTTATCATATTTAGAATTTATTAACTGAATAATAAAGCTGACAGTTTATAATGCCTGATATATTAGCAATTTGTGAAGGAAAAATAAGTTTATGCCTTATTAATATATATATTATATATATATAAAATATATATATATATATATATATATATATATATATATATATATTATATATTATATATATATATATATATATATATATATATTATATATATATATATATATATTTATATTATATATATATATATATATATATATATATATATATATATATATATATATATATATATATATATATATATATAATCGTGTCAGATAATTAAAACTTGAGATTTTGGTTTAAATAGCAACGCTCTTCTTGCCGAATAAGGCAAGTGAAAATTTGTGTATGCAATAATTTCGCAAAAATTATTGTGAACCTAACGAGAAAAATATATTTTATTGTGTTTGTTTATTATTAAATTATTGTAAAATTTTCTAAAATATATTTAGTTGGATTAGGCTAAATTAAATTGCGCTTGTTATAATAAGGTTAGGTAAGTTTTCTAAGGTTCTTTTGGTACAAAATTATTAGTTTTTACATTAACATAAATTAAAAAAATACATCTTTAAACGTATAGGAGAAAATTTTAGAATGGATTCAATTTTAAATGAGCTCCTGAAGTGACTAATTTTATCTATTCGGCACGGCATATATATATTGGAAAGCACTAAATGCGCAAGATTCTTCAAGCGTCACCATGTATACAAGTTCTTAGTGACGGCATCTAAGATACTGTCTTTAATTAATTCTTCAAGACATTAAATATATTTCCCATACTCAGATTATTTTGTTACTTTCTTTATTCCGTAAATCAGGACTCGGTCGTGGGAAGGGTGTGTGGAAGAGCGGGGGCGTTGACCCCCAAAATCGACCCAAGGTTGATGTTGCGTTGAAAGATGTAGCAAACTGGTAGGTAGTGCCGGTATCTTGGGTAGCTTGAAGAACAGGTTAAGACAGTTTTACGAGTAAAGTGTTTGTGTGTAAGAAAGAACTACCTACCCTGGGCTGGTAAGCCTCCTGCAGTAGCTGGTAGAAATCGGGTGCATTCTCCTCCCTCTGTACTCAATACCCTAAGATATGGCACTAAGTACCGACAAATGTGTAAATAAGACACATGTCTAGCACCGGGGTGTTAAAATGTGTAAATAAAACACATGTCTAGCACCGGGGTGTTAAAATGTAATATAAAACTAAAACTTCTGTGGGTTTAACCTTCAGGAAACAACGCGTCTTAAACCCCACGATAACACGTTTAGTGGTTTAACATCAGCTGGCCTGCCCTAGCCAGCTCTCTCGCTACGTTTAAACAAAAGTCTAACTGAAAGGGAATGAATTATGAGATGTAGTGATGCACTGACGGGAATCCTGAGCCCAGTATATTGCAACAAATAAGACTGATAGTGGCCAAGGCATCGTTAGTTAAGATCTAAAGAGGGTAGAACAGATATAAGTGTGTTGGTATTACTGAGTGTTGCAGGGGTGTATTAGTCTATTATTGAGTGTTGCAGGGGTGTATTAGTCTATTGTTGAGTGTTGCCGGGGAGATGAATCTATTACTGGGTGTTGCAGAGTTGACTGTCTATTGCAGGGTGTGCAGGAGACAGGTCAGGAGCAGACACACGCAGAGGAAAGCTACCCCTGCCCCTCCTCCCTGCTGGAAGGGCCTATTCGCCCCTGCCAGGGGTCCGACGGAGGCTCCGCTTGCCGTTGACGTCACGCGCTTCTTCGATGACGTCTCTGGCGTCGTCGATGATGTCACTATCAGGGACAGAAAAAATGACGTCATGAAAATAAAGAACAGTAAAGCCACTGATGACCTTTAAAAGAGGGAGCCTTGATTTTAGAAAGAGTTGCCGGAACACTCTCTTTCCCTGTAAAGTTACAGGGGGCACGATCTTCCTGTAAAGTTACAAGGGGGCACGATCTTCCTGTAAAGTTACAGGGGGCACGATCTTCCTGTAAAGTTACAAGGGGGCACGATTCCCCTGTAAAGCTACAGGGGGGCACGATCTTCCTGTAAAGTTACGGGGGGGGGGAGATATTCCTGTAATGTTACAAGGGGACACGATCTCCCTGTAAAGTTACAAGGGGGCACGATTCCCCAGTAAAGCTACAGGGGGGCACGATCTTCCTGTAAAGTTACAAGGGGGCACGATTCCCCTGTAAAGCTACAGGGGGACACGATCTTCCTGTAAAGTTACAAGGGGGCACGATCTCCCTGTAAAGTTACAAGTGGGCACGATTCCCCTGTAAAGCTACAGGGGGGCACGATCTCCCTATAAAGTTACAAGGGGGCACGATTCCCCTGTAAAGCTACAGGGGGTCACGATCTCCCTGTAAAGTTACAAGGGGGCACGATTCCCCTGTAAAGCTACAGGGAGGCACGATCTCCCTATAAAGTTACAAGGGGGCACGATCTCCCTGTAAAGTTACCTGCTGACACCTATCTTACCTTTGGGTGAAGGCTGGTTCTGGGTGCTAGTGGTTTCAGAATCCACCTTGTGGTAAGCTTCCCTGTCGACATCAAAGTGATGTCGGTCGCTCTTCTCCGGGTGTGACATCCCCGTGTGTCCACACTCTGACCCCAGCTGCTTGATGCCCACGAAGTCAGGGTAGCTGCATAACTCCTCCTGAAGAACGTGGGGTATGCCAGCTTAAGTCTCGATTTTTATACCTCAACTCAAGCACACTTTACCATTTCAAAAGGAGGGTAAAAAGTACTTTTCATATCGTGAATAAGACTCATCATCTACTTGAATAAAACTTACACCATCTACTTGGATACTTACACCATCTACTATGGGTTTACCCATGTAATGGCAGAAGATTTTATGTATGTCGTACGACACCTGGTCCTGGAATGAGGTTACCAGCTGTTCATCCTGCCAGGTGGCGTTACTGTAGAGGATGTCGTACAGGGAAGTGTTGCGCAGTGCTGCCAACCACAAGAGTAAAAGTTGGAATGAATTGCGATTAGGTAACTTCAGCCGAAGCTCATATAGAGATAAATTTACTACTACTGCTACTACTACTATTACTATTACTACTAGTACTATTAATACTACTATTACTACTACTACTACTATTGCTACTAATACTATTACTACTACTACTACTATTACTATTACTACTAGTACTATTAATACTACTATTACTACTACTACTACTATTGCTACTAATACTATTACTACTACTACTACTACTACTACTACTACTGCTGCTACTACTACTACTACTACTACTGCTACTACTACTACTACTACTACTACTACTACTACTACTTCTACAGTTACTATACAGCTACACCAGGAGGAAGATAATCTCATAGGAAACAATATTACTAGAGAGCCAAAGTGGTAGAGTGCACCAGCGAGCGCTGGACACAATGCGTATGACATGACAATAGGGATATCTGGAAGCACATACCTCTCCGTGGGACCCGAGAGAAAGAGAGAGAGAGAGAGAGAGAGAGAGAGAGAGAGAGAGAGAGAGAGAGAGAGGGCTGAGGCACTGTGTGTCACCAATTAGATGTGTGGAAGACAGGAAATGTAGTCTTAGGGTGAACAAAAGGGACAGATAGGAAACGTTAATCTACAGACCGGTGTCACTGATATCCATACTATGTAAAGCTATGAAGAATATCATCAGGAGAAGAATGATGAAGCACTTAGAAAGGATCGGCTTCATAAACGAAAACCAGTACGATATTAGAGATGGTAAATACATGTACAGTCTTACCGACCTACTTGAGTTGTACGACAAGGTAGCAGAAATGAGGCAGGAGAGAAATAGATGGATAGATTGTATATTTTTGAACTATAAGAAGACTTTTGAAACAATCATACGTACGAGACGGGGACTAAAGCTAGAAGAGCAGGCAGGAATAAAGGTAAAAGCACTACAATGAATCAAGGAATACCTAACAGGGAGGAAACATTGACTTATTATCCGAGGTGTCGGAATAATCGCGAGTGACGAGTGGGGTTCCACAAGGATCAGTACTAGGCTCAGTACTATTTATTTCTTGTATATGTTAATGACATGATGGAAAAGATGTATAAATATTGGCAAATGACGTGAAACTAATGAGGAGAAGACAAAGAGGTGAAGGCCAGAAAAGACAACGGAGAGACCTGGACTGGCTACAGGCCAGGTCTGACAATTGGTTACTGGAATTTAACCCCAGTAAATAAAAAGTTATGAAAACTGGGGAAGGGCAAAGAAAACCGCAGATGGAATACAGGCTCAGGGGACAAACACTGCAAAAATCACCCATTAAGAAGGACCTCGGGGTGAGTATTGTACCGAGTATATCACATGAGGCGCACATTAACCGAATAACTGCTGCAGCAAATGCTTGTCTGGAAATGTAAGATTAACTTTTACAAACCTAAGTAAGGAGTCATTTACGATATTACACGGCTTACAACAGACCCATACTGAGTATGCAGCACCTGTATCAAACCCACAACTTGTCAAACATGTCAAGAAATTGGAGATAAAGACTAGTCCCAGAGCTAAGGGGTATGTCCTGTGAGGAGAGATTAATGCTCAACCTGATGACCCTACAGAAAAGAAAGACTAGGGATGTTATGATATTAACGTATAACAAACTGAGAGGAATTGATAGAGTGGACAGGATAGAGTGTTTGAGAGGTGGGAAACAGGTACACGAGGGCACAGCTGGAAGTTGAAAACACAGATGAGTGACAGGAATGTTAGGAAATATTTCTTCAGTCTTAGAATTGTCAGGAAGTGGAACGACCTAGACAGTAGAGTGGTAGAGACAGGATGCAAACCTAACTTTACGAAGAGGTACCACAAGGCTCTCGAAACCAGGAGAGAGTGAAGGGGAGGGACCAGGAGCCAAGATTCGACATCCGCAACCAAAGAAAGGCCAACAGATAACAAGAGCACAGAAAACAAGGAACCAGAGAGAACGGAGAACGGAAAAAAAAGAAAGAACAAGAGAACACTCAAACACAAAGAACAAGAACACCTCACATTCCGCAGAACTCACCGTCTAACTGCTGTACAATGACAGACTTCAGGTTAAGATGAAAATCATATGAGATGTTAGGTAGTTCGAGGTTCCCCTTCAACAGGTCATGGACCATCCTGGTCTCCTGTTCCTCGTCAATCTCTTTGGTACTGAACAACGGCCGCAGAGGACATGTGGTGGAGAGTGAATTTTGAAGTTTTCATAAAGTGACTTAGGATTTAGAACATTCCTACAGTCAATGAACTCAGATTAAGTCGTAATAAACAGAAAAATGAACGGGAGGCTCGAACCGCTTCCAATAATTGACCGCCTAACGCTCTACCAGTAGCCGAGGAGGTAGAGCGTTGGACAGTCAATTAATGGACCGCGGTTCGCGTTTCCCGTTCATCTTTCCGTTTACTCGTTCCTATTGTTAGTTTAGAGTATAGAACGGGCCTATAATTCTTTGAGAATTTTGAATGTTTCTAAACTTGATTTAGAATTTTGAAACCTTCCCATAGTAGCCGTAAAAATTAGAACGCTTTTGCAATGAATTTTGAACATTCCTATAAGTGCTTTAGAATTTAGAACCGTTCACCTAATTTCCTTAGAGTCTAGAACGTTTATGCTTTATTCTTCCTAGAATGAGTCTAAAATTAACATTTATCTAGAATGTTAAAAATTCAGTGGGTGTTAAACCCGTAGGGGTAATGCAGCGCCTTGGATGGAATGTAGTCAAGAAATGGGAGGGGAAGTGGCTCTAGTTCCTTGGATCAAGAGCCCTTCACCTGCCATGAGGTTGCAGTGCAAAATGTTTATTATGGGAGGATGGGAGGGGGTAACGTTTCGCTCTCCAAACGAAGAGCGAAGCGTTGTTCACTATAGAGGCTTGTTCAGCGAAATGTTCAGTAACATGTTCTAGAGGCTTGTTCTACGATGCAGTCTTTAACTGGTTCGTTAATTGGGTTTGAAGCCTATCGGCGCTATGTGGTGGGTGACTGACTCTGACCGTAACCTGTTCATGACCTGTGAAGAATATTCTGATCCCTGGAACAGGGATTAAACTAAATACTCGGTGTATACACACACTGAGAGACATACAACACTCGGTGTATACACAGAGAGACATACAACACTCGCTGTATACACACACTGAGAGACATACAACACTCGGTGTATACACACACTGAGAGACATACAACACTCGGTGTATACACACACTGAGAGACATACAACACTCGGTGTATACACACACTGAGAGACATACAACACTCGGTGTATACACACACTGAGAGACATACAACACTCGCTGCATACACACACTGAGAGACATACAACACTCGCTGTATACACACACTGAGAGACATACAACACTCGGTGTATACACACACTGAGAGACATACAACACTCGGTGTATACACACACTGAGAGACATACAACACTCGGTGTATACACACACTGAGAGACATACAACACTCGGTGTATACACACTCTGAGAGACATACAACACTCGGTGTATACACACTCTGAGAGACATACAACACTCGGTGTATACACACTCTGAGAGACATACAACACTCGGTGTATACACACTCTGAGAGACATACAACACTCGGTGTATACACACTCTGAGAGACATACAACACTCGGTGTATACACACACTGAGAGACATACAACACTCGGTGTATACACACACTGAGATACATACAACACTCGGTGTATACACACTCTGAGAGACATACAACACTCGGTGTATACACACTCTGAGAGACATACAACAATCGGTGTATACACACACTGAGAGACATACAACACTCGGTGTATACACACACTGAGAGACATACAACACTCGGTGTATACACACTCTGAGAGACATACAACACTCGGTGTATACACACTCTGAGAGACATACAACACTCGGTGTATACACACTCTGAGAGACATACAACACTCGGTGTATACACACACTGAGAGACATACAACACTCGGTGTATACACACACTGAGACACATACAACACTCGGTGTATACACACACTGAGAGACATACAACACTCGGTGTATACACACTCTGAGAGACATACAACACTCGGTGTATACACACACTGAGAGACATACAACACTCGGTGTATACACACACTGAGAGACATACAACACTCGGTGTATACACACACTGAGAGACATACAACACTCGGTGTATACACACACTGAGAGACATACAACACTCGGTGTATACACACACTAAGAGACATACAACACGGTATATACTCACTGGTAGAAATTGATTTTCTTGTCACTGCAAGGGAATAAAAAATAAAAAAAATTAATAAAAATTAGTAAATATAATAGTGAAAATGATAATAACGATAATGACGAAATTAGTAATGGCTATAAAAGACTGTTGAATAGACTTCAGGATGTACATGTTTATAGAGGGACCACAGATATATCAGATCACTTTCTAGTTGTAGCTACACTGAGAGTAAAAGGTAGATGGGATACAAGGAGAATAGAAGCATCAGGGAAGAGAGAGGTGAAGGTTTATAAACTAAAAGAGGAGGCAGTTAGGGTAAGATATAAACAGCTATTGGAGGATAGATGGGCTAATGAGAGCATAGGCAATGGGGTCGAAGAGGTATGGGGTAGGTTTAAAAATGTAGTGTTAGAGTGTTCAGCAGAAGTTTGTGGTTACAGGAAAGTGGGTGCGGGAGGGAAGAGGAGCGATTGGTGGAATGATGATGTGAACAGAGTAGTAAGGGAGAAAAAGTTAGCATATGAGAAGTTTTTACAAAGTAGAAGTGATGCAAGGAGGGAAGAGAATATGGAGAAAAAGAGAGAGGTTAAGAGAGTGGTGAAGCAATGTAAAAAGAGAGCAAATGAGAGAGTGGGTGAGATGTTATCAACAAATTTTGTTGAAAATAAGAAAAAGTTTTGGAGTGAGATTAACAAGTTAAGGAAGCCTAGAGAACAAATGGATTTGTCAGTTAAAAATAGGAGAGGAGAGTTATTAAATGGAGAGTTAGAGGTATTGGGAAGATGGAGGGAATATTTCGAGGAATTGTTAAATGTTGATGAAGATAGGGAAGCTGTGATTTCGTGTATAGGGCAAGGAGGAATAACATCTTGTAGGAGTGAGGAAGAGCCAGTTGTGAGTGTGGGGGAAGTTCGTGAGGCAGTAGGTAAAATGAAAAGGGGTAAGGCAGCCGGGATTGATGGGATAAAGATAGAAATGTTAAAAGCAGGTGGGGATATAGTTTTGGAGTGGTTGGTGCAATTATTTAATAAATGTATGGAAGAGGGTAAGGTACCTAGGGATTGGCAGAGAGCATGCATAGTTCCTTTGTATAAAGGCAAAGGGGACAAAAGAGAGTGCAAAAAATATAGGGGGATAAGTCTGTTGAGTATACCTGGTAAAGTGTATGGTAGAGTTATTACTGAAAGAATTAAGAGTAAGACGGAGAATAGGATAGCAGATGAACAAGGAGGCTTTAGGAAAGGTAGGGGGTGTGTGGACCAGGTGTTTACAGTGAAACATATAAGTGAACAGTATTTAGATAAGGCTAAAGAGGTCTTTGTGGCATTTATGGATTTGGAAAAGGCGTATGACAGGGTGGATAAGGGGGCAATGTGGCAGATGTTGCAGATGTATGGTGTAGGAGGTAGGTTACTGAAAGCAGTGAAGAGTTTTTACGAGGATAGTGAGGCTCAAGTTAGAGTATGTAGGAAAGAGGGAAATTATTTCCCAGTAAAAGTAGGCCTTAGACAAGGATGTGTGATGTCACCGTGGTTGTTTAATATATTTATAGATGGGGTTGTAAGAGAAGTAAATGCGAGGGTCTTGGCAAGAGGCGTGGAGTTAAAAGATAAAGAATCACACACAGGGTGGGAGTTGTTACAGTTGCTCTTTGCTGATGACACTGTGCTCTTGGGAGTTTCTGAAGAGAAGTTGCAGAGATTGGTGGATGAATTTGGTAGGGTGTGCAAAAGAAGAAAATTAAAATTGAATACTGGAAAGAGTAAGGTTATGAGGATAACAAAAAGATTAGGTGATGAAAGATTGGATATCAGATTGGAGGGAGAGAGTATGGAGGAGGTGAATGTATTCCGATATTTGGGAGTGGACGTGTCAGCGGATGGGTCTATGAAAGATGAGGTGAATCATAGAATTGATGAGGGGAAAAGGGTGAGTGGTGCACGTAGGAGTCTGTGGACACAAAGAACTTTGTCCTTGGAGGCAAAAAGGGGAATGTATGAGAGTATAGTTTTACCAAAGCTCTTATATGGGTGTGAAGCATGGGTGATGAATGTTGCAGCGAGGAGAAGGCTGGAGGCAGTGGAGATGTTATGTCTGACGGAAATGTGTGGTGTGAATATAATGCAGAGAATTCGTAGTTTGGAAGTTAGGAGGAGGTGCGGGATTACCAAAACTGTTGTCCAGAGGGCTGAGGAAGGGTTGTTCAGGTGGTTCGGACATGTAGAGAGAATGGAGCGAAACAGAGTGACTTCAAGAGTGTATCAGTCTGTAGTGGAAGGAAGGCGGGGTAGAGGTCGGCCTAGGAAAGGTTGGAGGGAGGGGGTAAAGAAGGTTTTGTGTGCGAGGGCCTTGGACTTCCAGCAGGCATGCGTGAGCGTGCTTGATAGGAGTGAATGGAGACAAATGGTTTTTAATTCTTGACGTACTGTTGGAGTGTGAGCAAAGTAACATTTATGAAGGGGTTCAGGGAAACCGGCAGGCCGGACTTGAGTCCTGGAGATGGGAAGTACAGTGCCTGCACTCTGAAGGAGGGGTGTTAATGTTGCAGTTTAAAAACTGTAGTGTAAAGCACCCTTCTGGCAAGACAGTGATAGAGTGAATGATGGTGAAAGTTTTTCTTTTTCGGGCCACCCTGCCTTGGTGGGAATCGGCCAGTGTGATAATAAAATAAAAATATCATAATAATAATTAGTATTTTATTATATATTATTATCATTTAAATACTACTATACTACTACTACTACTGCTACTACTACTACTACTACTACTACTACTACTACTACTACTGCTACTACTACTACTACTACTACTACTACTACTACTACTACTACTGCTACTACTACTACTACTACTACTACTACTACTACTACTACTACTACTGCTACTACTACTACTACTACTACTGCTACTACTACTACTACTACTACTATACTACTACTAACTACTGCTAAATACTATACTACTACTACTATACTACTACTACTACTACTACTACTACTGCTACTACTACTACTACTACTACTGCTACTACTACTACTACTACTACTACTACTACTACTACTACTGTACATACTACTACACTACTACTACTACTACTCTACTCTACTACTATACTACTACTACTGCTACTACTACTACTACTACTACTACTGCTACTACTACTACTACTACTACTACTACTACTACTACTACTACTATACTACTGCTACTACTACTACTACTGCTACTACTACTACTACTACTACTGCTACTACTACTACTACTACTACTACTACTACTACTACTACACTACTACTACTACTACTCTACTACTACTACTACTACTACTAACTACTACTACTACTACTACTAAATACTACTACTACTACTACTACTACTACTCTACTACTACTAACTACACTACTACTACTACTACTACTACTACAATACTGAATACTATACTGCTACATAATAATATTTAATAATAGTTGATGAAGTCATAAAAAGAACGTTAATGCAACATGGAACCGGGAGAAGGGAAAACTGACTAACTCCTTAGAACAAGAATCTGTAACCAGTTAACCTGTTGCAATAAAGACACACACACACACGGAGAGGTGGGGTACACCACCAAGTGCTGGACAAAATACACACAACCGAGGAAGAAGTGAAGAGGCTTCTGAGTGAGCTAGATACCTCAAAGGCAATGGGGCCAGATAACATCTCCCCATGGATCCTGAGAGAGGGAGCAGAGGCGCTATGTGTACCCCTAACAACAATATTCAACACATCTATCGAAACAGGGAGATTGCCTGAGGCATGGAAGACAGCAAATGTAGTCCCAATCTTTAAAAAAGGAGACAGACATGAAGCACTAAACTACAGACCGGTGTCACTGACATGTATAGTATGCAAAGTCATGGAGAAGATTATCAGGAGAAGAGTGGTGGAACACCTAGAAAGGAATGATCTCATCAACAGCAGCCGATATGGTTTCAGGGACGGGAAATCCTGTGTTACAAACCTACTGGAGTTCTATGACATAGTGACAGCACTAAGACAAGAGAGAGAGGGGTGGGTGGATTGCATTTTCTTGGACTGCAAGAAGACGTTTGACACAGTTCCACACAAGAGATTAGTGTAAAAACTGGAGGACCAAGCAGGGATAACAGGGAAGGCACTACAATGTATCAGGGAATACTTGTCAGGAAGACAGCAGCGAGTCATGGTACGTGGCGAGGTGTCAGAGTGGGCGCCTGTGACCAGCGGGGTCCCACAGGGGTCAATTCTAGGACCAGTGTTTCTGGTATTTGTGAACGACATGACAGAAGGAATAAACTCCGAGGTGTCCCTGCTCGCAGATGACGTGAAGTTGATGAGAAGAATTCATTCGACCGAAGACCAGGCAGAACTACAAAGGGATCTGGACAGGCTGCAGACCTGGTCCAGCAGTTGGCTCCTGAAGTTCAATCCCACCAAGTGCAAAGTCATGAAGATTGGGGAAGGGCAAAGAAGACCGCAGACGGAGTACAGTCTAGGGGGCCAGAGACTACAAACCTCACTCAAGGAAAAAGATCTTGAGGTGAGTGTAACACCAGGCACATCTCCTGAAGCGCCCATCAACCAAATAACTGCTGCAGCATATGGGTGCCTAGCAAACCTCAGAACAGCATTCCGACATCTTAATAAGGAATCGTTCAGGACCCTGTACAGCGTGTACGTTAGACCCATATTGGAGTTTGCGGCACCAGTTTGGAACCCACACCTAGTCAAGCACGTAAAGAAACTAGAGAAAGTGCAAAAGTTTGCAACAAGACTAGTCCCAGAGCTAAGAGGTAAGTCCTACGAGGAGAGGTTAAGGGAAATTGACCTGACGACACTGAAGGACAGGAGAGATAGGGGGGGGGGAGATGATAACGACATACAAAATACTGAGAGGAATTGACAAGGTGGACAAAGACAGGATATTCCAGAGATGGGACACAACAACAAGGGGACACAGTTGGAAGTTGAAGACACAGATGAATCACAGGGATGTTAGGAAGTATTTCTTCAGCCACAGAGTAGTCAGGAAGTGGAATAGTTTGGGAAGCGATGTAGTGGAGGCAGGATCCCTACTCAGCTTTAAGCAGAGGTATGATGAAGCTCACGGTTCAAGGAGAGTGACCTAGTGGCGGCCAGTGAAGAGGCGGGGCCAGGAGCTTGGACTCGACCTCTTCAACCTCAACTAGGTGAGTACAACTAGGTGAATACACGCACACACACACACAACACACACACACACACACACACACACACACACACAATACCTGACAGGGAGGCAACAACGAGTCATGGTACGTAATGATGTATCACAGTGGGCACCTGGGGACGAGGGGGGTCCCAGGGGGGTGGGTCCTGGGCCCAGTGCTATTTTTGGTATATGTGAACGACAGAGGAAGGGGTTAGACTCAGAAGTGTCCCGTTTGCAGAGATGGAATTTTAAGAGGAAATTTTAAATCTGAGAGGACCCCCGCGGGACTTCACAAGCCCGGACAACTGGACACCGGGCCAGCAAAGGCTTCTCGAATTTAATCCCCAAATGCAAAGTCAGAAGATAGGGAAGGGGCACAGAAGCCCAAAACAGAGATAGCTGGGGGGCCCAAAAGACGCAAACCCACTAAAGGGAGAAAGTCTTGGGGGTGAGTATAACACCGAGCATGTCCCGGAAGCACACATCAATCAGAAACGCTGCGCATAGGGCCCCTGGCAAACCTGAACACATTCCAAAACCCTTAGAAGGAATCGTTAAAGACACGTACACCGGTATGTCAGCCCAAACGGGTTGCAGCACCTTTTTGGGAACCGCACTTGAAAAGACGCAAAAAACTAAGAAATACAAAGGTTTTTCGACAAGGTTTTTTTTCCAGAGCTAAGGGAATGTCCCATGAAGAAAATTTAAAAGGAAACGCCGACGACACTGGAGGGGCAAGGTCAGGGGAACATGATAAAGACATATAAAAACTGCTGGAATGACAAGGGGGACAAAGACAGGATTTTTCCGGGGGGGGACACAGAAACAAGAGGCCACAATTGGAAGTTGAAGACACAAATAGTCAGAGAGATATTAGGAAGTATTTCTTTAGTCTAAGTTGTAAGGAGTGGGAAAGCCTAGAAAAGACGTAGTGGAGGCATGAACCATACACTTTTTAAAAAGAGGTTTTATAAACCATGGAGCGGGGGGAAAAGAGGCCCTAGCAACCGGGGAAGAGGCGGGGCCAGGACTAAGACCGCCCCCCGCAACCCCAAAAAGGTGATACAAATAGGTGAACACACACACACACATACACACACCCACACACAAAACACACACCCACACACACCACACCACACATACAACACACAAATGACATGACGGAAGTTTTAGAAAAAATTAAAACGGACAGGATGAGCAGGACTGCAAAGAGACCCCGGGCAGGCTGGACTGTGGTCCATAACGGGTTCTCGAAATTTAATCCGCCAAAAACAAATCAGAAGATTTTGGGGGGGCAAAAAACCGCAGACAAGTAAGGCAGGGGGACAAAGACTACAACCTCACCAGGGGGAAAGACCTTGGGGGGACCATAACACCGAGCACATCACCGGAGGCGCCATCAACCCCAATAACCGCTGCAGCAAAACGGGCGCCTGGGAAACCCAGAATAGCGTTCCGATACCTTTAAAAAGGAATCGTTTAAAACACTGACACTGTGTATGTTTGCCCAACTGGGGGAGCGCACCATCGGGAAACCCACACCTGGTCAACACGTCAGGAATTAAAAGAAAGTAAAAAGGGTTTTTGAAAACCAAGGCTAGTCCCAGAGCTCAAGGAAGCCCGTACGGGGAAAGTTTAAAGGGGAAATGGGAACTGACAACACTGGGGGAAACAAAAGGGTCAGGGGAGACAAAAATAACGACTTTACAAATACTGCGGGAAATAGAAAAGGGTGGCCCAGAGATAGGATGTTCCAGAGAGGGGACCCGGGGACGGGTTTCCCCAACTGGAAGCGGAAGACTCAGACGAGTCACAGGGACGTTAGGAAGTATTTTCTTCATTCATAGAGTTGTCAGCAAGGGGGAATACCCCTACCCAAGTGAAGTAGTGGAGGCGGGAACCAAAACATAGTTTTTAAGAAGAGGTAAAACAAAGCTCGGGAAAACAGAGAGGGAGAGGACCCATAGCGATCATGAAGAGGCGGGCCAGGGGGCTGATTCTCGACCCCTGCAACCAAAATTTAGGTGATTAAAAAATTAGGTGAGTACACACCCACACACACACAAAAATTTGGAATTAAAAGATTTCAGATGAGTCAAAGAGATTTTAGGAAGTTTTTTCGTAATCCATAGAGTTGCCGGGAAGTGGAATACCGGAATGGGAGGTGGGGGGAAAGACAGGACCCAATACAAAAGCTTTAAGAAGATTTATGAAAAGTCGCAGGGGCGGGGAAAGTGCCCCTAGTATCGCCCAGTGAAGGGGGCCGGGGCCAAGAGCTATGACTCGCCCCCACATGCAACTACAAAAAGGAAATACAATTAAAACAATACACCCCACTTTCTCTCTCCTCTCTCTCTCAATTCCCCTCCCCCCTCTCCCCTCTTCCTCTCTCCCCTCCCCTCTCTCTCTCTCCTCCCTCTTCCCCCTCTCTCCTTTTCCCCCCTTTTCTTTCTCCCCCTCCAGGGTTTCACGATTTGTAGAGTAGAAAATTTTTTTGGGCTAGTGAAATCAAAAATAGGGCAAACTTTAGTGATTGAGGTACTCAGATGCACTCCCATGCACTTTTCGTTCACTCTGATGGATTACCAAAACACTCCCATCTACCGCTTTCACTTTTATGTATTTTCCCATGCAAACCCCCCATGCACCCGTGTTTACTCTCCTTTCCCACTCGCTTTCCCCTCTGATGGATTACCATCACTTTTCCCCTGCACTTTGTGTTTATTCTGTTGGATTACCATGCACCCCATGCACTCGTGTTCACTCTGATGGAATACCATGCATTCCTGTGCGTCAACTCACCTGTTGTCGATTACTTTCTTGAGTCCCAGGGAGTTCAGGATGGTACCTAAGGTGGGCTGGGATTGGCAGTGGTCCAGTTGGATTTGTGGATAGTAAGACAGGTAGACTAAGCACATCTCGTCACTTGTCCTAGCACCGCCCTGCAATACATTGGGAAGCCAGTGGAAGGCCTCGGTCAGATGGCCAAGAGCTCCATCTGTGCGGGTCATCGCAAAACTAAGACCCACGCGTCAGGAAGCGCTTGTCCTGTTTCCTTGCAAATCTTACCTAACCTAACATGAGATTGTGTCTTGTAACGAGCATACGTAGATAGATATGTGTGTTGTGTGTGTGTGCGTGTGTGTGTGTGTGTGTGTGTGTGTGTGTGTGTGTGTGTATGTGTGTGTGTGTGTGTGTGTGTGTGTTGTGTGTGTGTGTGTGTGTGTGTGTGTGTGTGTACTCACCATGAAGTGAATGCAGGGGTCTAATTACAATTCCTGGCTCATGACTTCTGTACACTGGCTTCAAATGGTTTCTGGCCTCCGAAGCCCGATCGTACCTATTTCTGAAAATCTGTATGATATTTGTTTCCACATCTACAACCCTGAGACTGGAAACGAATTTCCTAATGTTATTTTTATGACACTAAGAACTACGACATGGCCCCAGTACCTAATATTTTCTGTCTAGTCTTTGCAAATGCCAAGCTCAGCTCCTGTGCCACCTCTGTACTCACATCACTCGTCGTTTACTCACAGCACTTGCTGTGTACTCACAAAGGTAGGTGTGGTGATACCGGTGGAGTCGTACCCACACTCGGCAATGAGGGTGTCCCCTGGTAGTATGGTCAGCTCCTGCTCCAGTACTCTGCTCTGCTGGTAGTTGAAATCGTAATTCATATCTGCAGTGAGAGACCATTAATGAGGTGGAAGTCTCAGCTGAGATGGTGGTTGACGTGAAAGAGTTTATTCTCTATAAGGATTACAATGCTGAGTTTACAGAAATTTGGTTATTGTTTGGTTTACATGTAGTAAAATTGTGATTACAGAGTGTACCACTAGAACGCTTAGCATGGCTAGGCATTTCGGGCATACTTAGTTTTATTCTTAATTGTAAAATATTACAAATTATGAGGTAAGTTGGTATTATGGCTAAGTGACTAAATACTAGTTTATGAGTTTAGCAATGTGAATGCTTTTGTTTTGGCACAGTATATAGTTTCAGTATTGGAGTATCACAGGATTCATTATTTTAAGACTGAGATTAATATTTCTGTTTATGGTCAAATGAGTGAGCGAGTGTAAGTGTGAACTACCAGGTGGTATTTGTTAGTTAGTTGACGGGGTGTATCAGGGAGATAAGATGTTTTCTAATGGTAGTTTTTGAAGTGATGAATGTGTCTGCAGTTCTAGAGTTCTCAGGTAGGGTATTCCAGATTTTAGGGCCTTTGACATACATTGAATTTTTGTAAAGGTTTAGTCGGACACGGGGAATGTCGTAGAGATGTTTGTGTCTGGTGTTATGCCTGTGGGTTCTGTCACAACTATCAAGAAAGCGTTTTAGGTCAAGGTTGATATTAGAGTTTAAGGCCCTGTAGATATAGATTGCACAGTAGTAAGTGTGGATGTACTGAACTGGGAGTAAGTTTAGATCTTTGAAGAGTGGGGGGGGTGTGCTGCCAGGGATGGGATTTAGTGATTATTCTTACTGCAGCTTTTTGTTGGGTTATTATTGCTTTAGGTGTGTTGCTGCAGTTGATTCCCCAAGCACAAATAGCATAGGTGAGGTATGGATAAATAAGTGAGTGGTATAGTGTGAGAAAGGGCATTTTTGCGGCACGTAGTATCGTATCTTGGAGAGGATCCCAACCGTTTTGGATACTTTTTTGGCTATATGCTGGATATGGGTGCTGAAATTCAGGTTGTTGTCCAAGGTATAAGCCTAGGAATTTTCCCCCATTATTTCTGGTAATTAGAGTGTTGTCAATCTTAATGTTAATTTGTGCATCTCCTGCTCTGCTACCAAACATAATATAGTAAGTTTTGTCAGTGTTAAGCGTAAGTTTATTGGCTGTCATCCAAGTCGATATTTTAATCAGCTCCTCATTCACAATGGTGTTGAGGGTGGCAAGATTAGGGTGAGAGATGACATAAGTCGTGTCATCAGCAAAGAGAATGGGTTTCAGGTGTTGGATACGTTTGAAGGTCATTGATGTATATGAGGAAGAGCAGGGGACCAAGGACACTTCCCTGCGGAACTCCAGTATCAAGTAGCCGTGTTGCTGATGCTGTGTCTTTAATGGTGACGTACTGATACCTATTAGTAATGTAAGATTGAAATAAGCAAGCGCATGGCCTCTTATACCGTAGTGGTCAAGTTTGTGGAGTAGGATTTCGTGGTTTACTGTGTCAAAAGCTTTTCTTAGGTCAATAAAAATTCCTAGTGGATATTCCTTATTTTCCAATGCTGTGTAAAGCAGATCTAGCATTTTTATGATTGCATCATTAGTGCTTTTATTTTTCCTGAATCCAAACTGGCAGGGGTTGAGTATGTTTTGTAGCCGTTATAAATGAATACAGTCTCTTGTACACGAGTTTCTCAAAGATTTTGGATAGCAATGGTAAGTTAGATATTGGCCTATAGTTGTTTAAGTCTGTAGGTCACCACCTTTATGTATTGGTGTAACCCTTGCCATCTTGAGTAGTTTCGGGAAGGTGCTAGTCTCTATTGACTTGTTAAAAAGTAATGAAATAGCATGCGAAAGGACATGGGCCGCTCGCTTGTACAGTAATGGTGGGACATGAGACAGATTCCCGAGTTATTTTTAAGTGACTTTATGATCTCAATGACTTCCGTGGGCTCATTGGTGCAAGATAGAAGGAATTAGGAAATTTCCATCTAGGTAGTCCCCGGCATGGCATTGGTATGTGGGATTTTACTGCGAGATTAGATCCTATGTTTGAGAAGTCGTTTATCTGTTAGCTGTGTCAGTGGGATGTAGTGGTGTTTCATTAGGTTTAGTTAGGACAATATTCTTGGTTTTTCTCAGTTTGTGGGTCCCTAGAATCTGAGAGAGTGTTTTCCAGGTCTTTTTTATATCTCCTCTAGTGTCTGTGAATCTACTGGAGTAGTATAGTTGTTTGGCTTTTTTTATTACTTTGGTGAGAGCTGATGAATAGTGTTTAAGAGTATCTTGTGTATTAAGCCCTGTCAATATTGCTTTTCATATTGGTGTTTCATGTCAAATGGATTTCAGAATGGTGCTGGTTAGCCATGGGCAACCAAGCCGTTTGTTTGTGATCTGTTTTGTTTTTTTAGGACAATGTTTGTTGTATAGTCTAAGTAATTTGTTAAGAAAGAGTCTGTCCAGTCATCAATACCATTGGCCTTGGAGAATTCTGTAGGCCAATCAACAGTCTCTAGGTCAGCTGTGAACTTCCTTACTGAGGCCTCGTCATGGAGTCTAAATGAGACTTTGTTGTATTCAAGTGGTGGTTTACTAATGTTTCTCAGGAGGAAGGTAGGGTAGTGGTCTGTAGTGCTATCTGTGATTATCCATGATTTAAGGGGGGCTAGTATATTGGTCCATATGTGGTCTATTATGGTTGCACTTGTCTCAGTGAGCCTGGTTGGTTTAGTTATTGTTGGTATGAGAAGTGTGTTGTTCATATTGTTGATGAAATCAGTTACAGGCTGATCATCTAGTAAGCCAAGGTTGATGTTGAAGTCTCCAGCTAAGAGAAGGTGGTGCTTATTCATTTGTCTGTTTGTTATTAGTGACTTTAATTTCTCACTGAAATTTGGGATGTTTGTGTGAGGTATTCGGTAAATGGCACCGATTGTTATAGGCGTCTTAAGGTTTTTTTACAGTAAAATAATAGACCACATATGGACCAATATACTAGCAAGAAATGGTGATTGATGTGGTAGTAAGAACAGAGACAGTGGTTGATGAGGCTGTATCAAAAGAGATGGTGAATGATGTGACGGAATCAGCAGTAATGGCGATCTGATAGTGGTAATGTCAGCCTAAAGATGTTTTAGATATTTCAGTAGAGTCAGCAGAGATGTTGTTTAATATACGATAGTCTGCAAGTTGGAGACTATAACTATCTCAACACCAGTCGAATTATTCAAGTGACGAAAATAGGCAGACACAGAAGACAAACGAGAGAAACATGAACAAACGCAAAAATGATCTCAGTTCAGAGCTGAAAGCAAGGGAAACATCAAGTGAGAAATAATAATAATAATAAACCTACCCTTAAACGTGACTGGAAGTTCTCGTCCGTTCCGGATGTGTCTGAGAAGGATGTCTCTTCCCAACAAATGCTCATGCAGGAGTGCTTGGAACACCTTCACCCCTCCTTCAGGAAGACCCTGCACCATCACCACCAGTAGAACCCCCAACAGCGTCACCAGCATCACCAGCATCACCATCACCACCAGCACCATCACCGTCAGATCAGTGTGACAGGGACGGGAGGATTTGTTGCCATCGTAGAGTTGATTAGTTGATTGGATGTAGTGGAAGGGAGGAGGGAACAGTAGATATAAAGATTAGATCGTATTAAATATTGATTCTGTCTGCTTCTTTGATAATTACTTTGGCGCTGGGACGTTCACTTGATGGATCTCTTTCTGCAGTTCCCCAGCGCCTAACTAGCAATCAAAGAAGCAGACAGGATAAACCAACGCTGATCAGAATCTCATCTGACTGCCACGAATAACACCATCACACAGAAATCAGGCTAGTCTTGAAACTAAATGCTCACACTAGTATTATTGTCAATAGGCGAATCAGAGGAAAACTGATTTATTGCGAGTGACAACAACACCCCGACTAGTCACCTGTTGCGTACATTGGCTGGAGCAGTGTCCAATAGATTTCCACCTACGACCTGGTGGAATGATGTGGTTGGACGTGACTCTGTGTCCAACTAGCAGCACTCCAGCATCGTACTTCCTTAACCTCTCCGTGTGGAAGAGTCGCAGTCCAGACTCGTCGACAATACCTGAGATGTTATGTACAATATTTTCACTCTTCTTATTATTATTAATCAATTTATATTATTATTATTATTATTATTATTATTATTATTATTATTATTATTATTATTATTATTATTATTATTATTATTATTATTGTTATTATCATGAGCATGCAGCAACTAAACCCGTAGAGGTCAATGCACCTTTCTTGAAGGTAGGATTATCGTAGTGTATCTCTAAGAGGAAGTAGTCAGCACCTCCGTGGCCATGGCCTAAAGGAAAGCCTACATGC